GAAATAAATCCACAATCTATAAGCTAATGCTTAGTGAGTCCCCCAGAGCATACCCCACACACAATCCAATCCACATATCTCCAACATGCTGCTCCCACTCAGTTATCTATAATCATAATGTGATTAACTTGTCATAATCCCATAATTACCCTTAAGGTTAACTCTGGTCATGGTTAAAGTCAAGGTCACCGGTCAAGGTCAACAGTCCATGTTGACCTCAGCTCATCGAGTGCATGTAGCAACTCGTCGAGTTTATGAGTAATTCATTTACTTGCCGAGTTACCTATGTAACTCGCTGAGTCCCTCCTTTTCCACAACTTAAAACTCATGATAGTCGTAAACTCATGACAACCGGAAACTCTTTACAACCAAAAACTCTTTACGACCAAAAACGGTTAAACCCTATTCGACTCGTCGAGTCAGCTAAGGGACTCGACGAGTTCCTTTAGTCTTCTTAAAGTTCATCCCTTTTTAGTGGGATCTAGGGTCCCAAACTCCAGATCCAAGTTCTCCTAAGGCAGATACCACGTAAAGTTGCAAACTTTACAAGCATGCAAGGTCCTTCAAGGCTATAACTTCAAAACTAGGCTTCTTACAAGGTTTTTATGCATGGGAAGAGACCAAACTGCATAAACGAAGAAAATTTATGGTATTTGGGACCTAAAGAGGTCCAGACCTGGAACCCTATCCTTGTGATAAGTCCAGATCCAAGTTTGACTCCATTTTGCACCAAAAATGGCCATTTACTTCCAACAAGAGAGATCTAAACAACTAGAGGTCAAGGTCACGGCTTTATACCTTAGGATGATGGCCAATATAAAGTAGATGTTGGATCTACTATTCCTCTCCTTTCTCTTTCTTCTTTAAGCTCCAAATCCCTTCACAATTACTCCAAAATTGCTCACAAAGGCTATTTCTCTCACTCAAGAGGGGTTTACGACCGAGAACGCTCTTCTATGGGTAATAAGGTGCTAAGGGAGGCCATAAGGGCAGGATATGTTCTGTATATAGGGTGAAAATCCTTAAAAATTAGGGTTTCTCTTTACAGCACCTACTCGTCGAGTAGGTCTCGATCCCACGTCAACCCTTAAGTCTCCTGCTCGATGAGTTGAACTCCCAACTCGTCGAGTCCATGCACAAAACCTTAAACTTTAACAAATAATTTAAGTTATGCTTGGAACCGGCGTTACAACTGATTAATCAGTTTATGATATTTTAGTCACAAAAGCACTTTTTTCTTGTAGTGCCTAAACACCATAATTTACGCACCGTGTAAATTTCTCAGAAACCCTAACATAAGAACCCATAATTTAGAAATGTTTGACTTTGAAAGAGATTTTGACTTAAAAGGCAATTTGGTCATTTAAAGGAATTTCATGAATTAAGAAGGTGTAACTTCATGAACCAACAACAGAAAAACTATTTACTAACAATGGAAAAATCATTAAAAAGACACGTGAAACAAAGATGTAGAAAACAGGAAAATAATGATAAAAGCGAAAATGCAAAAAAAAAAAAAAATATTCGAATTTGATCTCATAAAAAAAATAATTTTGTGAAAATGATTTCATCAAAAATAAAGTTGCAAAATATAAAAGAATTTGTAAACCAAATTTTTGGAAAGAAAGGTAAAAAAAGAATTTAACAAAATATATAGTAATCCTTTTTGTCTAAATTAAAAAAAAAAAAACCAGGTGGTGTCATCCGTCCTTAAGATCGAGGGTTCAAGTTCCGTTGTGTACGTAGGTGGATTTGATGTTAGTTTAGGAGTAGTTTATATATTTTATTTGCTGGTTCAAAAAAAAAACAATACTCGGATCAAATTTCAAATAGAAACTACAAATTGGATCATAATTGTAACTAAAAAAAAGTTGAATGACACCAAATTTGAAACAAAAAATATATTATTTTTTTACCTACAAACTCTCTATTTTACACTTATGGTCCCTTTACTTTTACAGTTTTTTCTATAACATATCACTTCATATATACTTTTAACAAATGTAAAAAAATAATTCATGTGTATAATAATAATTATTTTTTTAATTTTATTGGTTAAATATGTGTAATAATTATTATTTTTTTAATTTTATTGTTTGACAATTTAATTACAATATTAATTAATTATTTATAATAATATTTATTAAAAAATATACTTATATGATTATATATATATATATATATATATATATATATATATATATATATATATATATATATATATAAATGGTTATATCAAATGTCAAATCATAGAGGGAAGGGATATATCAGAAAGAAGGGGCTATTTAACTATTCCCAAAAATAATTCATCTCTATATATGTATAATAATAATTATTTTTTAATCTTATTGGTAAAATATGTATAATAATAATTATTTTTTTAATTTTATTGTTTGATAATTTAATTACAATGTTGATTAATTATTTATAATTGTTTTTTATTTATAATAATATTTATTAAAAAATATACTTATATGATTGTATATTTAAAAATGTTATATATATATATATATATATATATATATATATATATATATATATATATATATATATATATATATATATATATATGTGTGTGTGGTTATATCAAATGTATAATCATAGAGGGAGGGGATAAAAAAAGAGAAGAGGGGCGGGCTATTTACCTGTTCCCTTCATTTAATTTATCTTCCGCCAAACAATAAATATAAACATAATGGTAACTAAGAAAATAGTATTAAAGCTATTACTTATTTTGTCTCATCAACCTTTATAATTGTATATCTTGCTAGAATGTATAACCTGGTTGGGTGCAATTATAATATTAGTATTAGGGGATGTTTGGATAGGAAAAAAAATGGTGTTGATTGGTTATTGCTTATTTCCACCACAATAAACTAAGTTTAAGTGTTTTGATAAAATCTTTAAAAATCAGCTTATTTAGCTAAATAAGCTAATTTTAATAAGAATCTCCCCCTTCTTATGACTTATTATTTATTCCCACCATAAATAAATTAATAAGCAATAAATAATAAGCTAATCCAAACACCATAGGTTTAAATATACAAAACAGTTTAAATATACAAAACATGTAGACAAAGATTATAAAGTAATTTCCATAAGGTGGCTTTGGCTATATACAATATGGAAATAGTTGTGATTTTTTCTATCATTTAATAAATCGTGTATAATCTTATATATTATACATTGACTCTATGTTAAATTGTAAAATTCTTTTAAACATGCATAAAACGAGGATATAAAATATTATAAAAAAAAACTAAATTAACGAATAAAAAATCTTGTAAAAAGCAATTTTGAAAAACGAAGTTTAAAGAATATTATATTTCGAGAAAGAAAATGTTATAGAAATGTAAAAAAAATAATTTATAATTTCTTTTTGTTATAAAGAAAACTGAAAAAATCAATAATAAATTATAAAAGAGATTTCCAAAATTGTAATTTTCCAAAGAAAACCAATGTTTAAAGTTACATACATTTAAAGTTGAATAAAAAAAGATTTTGTAAAAGCATAAAAAATATCATAAATAAATGCATAAAAACAAAGATGTAACATAGTAATTTGGTAAATTAACACGTGTTCATACCTTTTGAATTTGATACGTTTGGTTTTCTTGCGCCGGATGCGGTGGAGATTCTTAGTAGAGTACAATAAATCATGCATATCAATGTTATATCCCATAGATCTATAAATATAGTCTTCAAAAGAATTGATTATACCATACAAAAATATTTAGCGGTTCAACATGTTGCTCGTTTGCCTTCTCATTCGTTGTACGATGATCACTAACATGTATTAATTACACGTGAAAAAAATATTATGTTTTAATGTAAAACAAACTTGTAAAAAACAAAATTGTAATAAAATATATAAAAGCATGTAAAATGTATTTTATTTGAAAAAAAAAACAAAGGTTTAAAATACATATACAAAAATCTGAAATTAAAGTTTGGAATTTTTCTTTAAAAAAATCGTACTAATATCATAAAAACAAACAAAATTGGTAAAAGTAAATGAAAGTTATTACCAATAAGAAAAATATAAGTTGTAGGTACAAAAATTTTAAACTAAAATAAAATTGGATCTAAAATCTAAAAAAAATAAATTTAAGGACTTCGATCCGACATAAAAAATGTTAAATATCAGTTAAACCTATAATAACAACATTGTAAAACCAAAATTCATGAATAAATTTAAATTTTAAAGTGAAGATGTAAAATACTACTTAGGGGACTTGGACCCGGATCTCGGCTGGGTATATGCGGCTGGTAAAATCCGAATACATTATATTTTTTGATCCATGTAAAAAAAACGGACTTACACTAAGAAAAATAAAACTCAAACACGTGACTTATTAGCATAGAATCAACATTCAACAAGCACCTTACGATTGAGTTAGGATAAGGCAGCCAATGTTAATGTTCATCCTGCTTGATAATATATTAAAGGGTGTTTGGAATTGCTTAAAAATGGCTTATTAGCTTATTTGCTTATCCAATATAAATAAGTTGACAATGTGTTTGACTAAGTAAAAAGTGCTTTTAAAAAGGGTTTTTTTGGTAAAGAAGAAAACGCAGTTTTTGAAAAGCAAGAGAATCATGGCTTTTTAGGGCTTTTGGCTTCTTAAAATTAAAATTACCGTTATACCCCCACCCACCCTAATAATCGACATTTATTCTTCACACCAACCATTCATCTCGTTCTCTTCCCTATGTGTTTCTCTCCCTTGTACATCGTTTTCATCGGTCATCCGTCTCCGGCCGATCTCAGCCGATCTCCAAGATGAAATCAATTTAATGACGATGGGACTCTTTTTCCTAGTTTTCCTGAAAGTAGTTCAAGTAAAAGGAAGAAGTCTAAGAATGTTTCCAACAGCCGTTCAACCAAGAGTAAAACTTCAATCTATGAGGAAAAAGTAGATGCTTTATTAGATGTCATAGCAACAAAAAGTACACAAACTTTTCCTCAAAATAATCCCTCCCCAACAATAGCAAATTGCATGACCGTTGTCATCAAGTTTCCAGGTTTCATTGAAGGTTCCCAAGAGTATTCACAAGCATTGCTTGTCTTCACCAAAAAACAAAACCGTGAAGCTTTTATGTTTCCAACTAGTGATGATGCAGAGATGGAGTTTCTTAAGTTACTACTGAAATAATGATTTGTGATTTGACATCATGTCTTATTGTTTGATGTTAGACGTTATGTGTTATGTTTTTATGTGTTAGCCATTCACATGATGTAATCGAGATGTTATATTATGTGTTATTGTTTGTCGTTATGAATCAACATTTTATATTATGTGTCATTATTTGTCGTTATGCGATCGATAATTTTATATTATGTGTTAGTGTTTGACAATTTTTTTTTGTATGTAGGATGGATAGTGATGATTCTAATTCGTCTGACGATAATGAGGAATGTTGGGTGGAAGAGGATAGAGAATTCGAAATGTTATGTGGGTTAGCTCTGAAAGGGATAATACTAGCTTGTAACATACGTAGGCCATGTCACACTTCAGCCCGCACCAGTCACATATTTATTAATGAAGTATTAAATGGCCATCCTAGACGGTGTTACGAGATGTTTAGACTGCATGTACCGGTTTTTAGACAATTATGCATAGATCTTGCTACAAATTACGGACTGCAACAAACAAAAAAATATCTATTGAGGAGTCAGTAGGAATATTCTTGATGACTTTGGCCCATGGATGTAGCAATAGATTTGTGCAAGAATTTTGTAATCATTCCGGGGAAACGATTCATAGGCATTTCCATACAATTTTGACAGTCGTGCTTAAGATGAGTGCTGACATCATCAGGCCAGCTGTGAACTATAATGATGAAGTTCCCGAATATATATTAAACAATCCTCGATATTATCCAATGTTCAAGGTATTATCCAATGTTCAATTACCTCACCAAATGATTTATTTATAATATCTTTTTGTATTTGTAGGATTGCATTGGCGCTATAGATGGGACACACGTTAGGGCATTGGTTCGACAACATGAGGAAGCAAAATACATTGGTCGAAAGGGATATGCTACACAAAATATAATGGATGTTTGTGATTTTAACATGTGTTTCACATTCGTGTGGGTCGGATGGGAGGGGACTGCACATGACACAAGAATTTTTAATGAAGCCTTACAGAGATGGGATCTTCATTTTCCGTTTCCAACGGGTGGTTAGTATAAATTTTTATTAACACGAGTTTTATGTTTTTAATATTTGTTTGAAACGAATAACAAATGTTTGTTTTTTACAGATAAATATTATGTTGTTGATGCCATATACCCAAATACCAGAGGTTATTGTAGCACCTGCTTCCCAGTACGTACTTCTTGTAATTTTGAATTCTTAATTCTTGCATTTTTGCCTTGGACTCGGCGAGTTGAAGGACTACCTCGCCGAGTAGGAGCGGGATGGGATACGGGGTCCGAGCCATGGACTCGGCGAGTAGGCCCTGTTTGGGTAAAAACCCTAACCCGAGCATTATCACCCTATTTAAACACATTAACTCGGCCCCTTGTCCTTAACACTTCCAGAGAGATGTAGTAAGAGTCCATAGCCCCCCTCATTGTGCTTGTGAGTGAGTTCTTGCTTGGTGAAGGGAATTGGAGCTTAGAAGAAGAAAAGAAGAGTTTGAAGAGTGCAAGAGAGGGAGTAGATCCGAAATCTACTTTGGGGGAAGTTTGCATTCAGGTAGTAAAGTCTCTACTTTGATCTTTAGTTCATTAGATCCCATTTTGTCCCAATTTGGTGGTTTTCAAGCCCTAAAAACAGCAAACCCCATGTGTTTGTGCTTAATAATCCGAAACGACTTCAGATCTAGACTTTATGAATGTGTTAGAAGCATAAAGTTGTTGTGGTTGAAGTGATTGAGGACCCCATGGAGTTCATGACCTGTTTAAGAGCTTGGAATTGCATTTTTGAGCTTATAGGGCCATGCATGCACGTAAAGTTTGCAACATTACGTGTTAGGCATGCCCTAGGAACATAGATCTGTGGTTTTGAAGAGATGCATGTCTCAGATTTGGCTCATATGGGAAATGGGTCAAGGGACTCGGCGAGTCCCAAAGTTGAACTCGGCGTGTTCCATGAAGATGGCCTTAGACTCAGCGAGTTGGATGAACAACTCGGCGAGTCTTATGAAGATTGCCTGGTACTCGACGAGTTGTTCTTCAAACTCGGTGAGTTGCATGAACTGTTATTGAGTACAAAGGGTTTAAGTTTCAGAAGTCCAACCCTTCGTGTTTGCACGTAGGATTTGCAATCTAACGTGTTCCGTTAGTCCCAAAAACCCCAGATCCTCATAAACGATGTTCGGATAAGGATCTGGATGCGAGTGGGGAGTCTGCTCGCATGGACACGGCGAGTTGTTCATGGACTCGGTGAGTTGTTCATGGACTCGGCGAGTCGGATCGCGAGCCGGTCCTATCGTCCCGAGTAGTGAGTTAAGGACGATTCAATGAGTGGGAAGAAGGGACTTGTAGAGTGGAACCGGGTTAGTGGAGAAGGACTCGGCGAGTCGGTACCATGACTCGGCGAGTCCAGTCAACTAGAAGTTGAGCTTGACTAAGGAGTTGACCTTGGTTAAAGGGAGGGTCAGTCATCTGACCTAAGAGTGTGAATGAGAGGCTAACCTATGTTTATGATTTATAGTCGGAGGATTTCTGATTTAGCAGTCAGGCGCTTAGCAAACAGACTTCAGTAGTTACTTTCGAGGTGAGTTACCTTCCAGTAGCGGTGAGTCTACGGCCACAATGTCGGCCCACCAGTAGGAGTTGTATGTTAGATGATTGTCTTTGTGATATCATCTAGGTTTGCTACTACCTGATATGTTTATCTTGTAACACCGTAAATTCCAAAACAATTTTTTGCATTTTATAAAAACACAAATCATTTAACATTCATAAAAACATTAATGTTTGAAATTCAATCCATGCTATATTAAATTCTCAAGATCTGATAACATAAAAATCCCGTGTGTGTGTACTGATCAAGCCGGTGCCTTCCCACGGTCATCACTAGTACCTGAAACAGATAACACCAACACTGTTAGCACAAATCTTAGTGAGTTTCCCCAAAATACCACACATAACACATATTAGCCACTCGATGCTATAACTCTGTGGGTCCGTGGACCCTACTCTGTGAACCCTCTGGTTCTAACTCTATGAACCTTCCGGTTCCAACTCTATAAACATGCAAGCATAGATCACATAGAAATAATGCAGTACGACACATAACATACATAGCATACAAATACTCTATCACATAACTCTGGTTACCCACTCAAGGTAAAGTATAGTGAGAAGACTCACCTCGCGTATCTCGCTAACTCGCAAATCCCGGAAATCTCTCGCGCTCGATCCCCCGAGCTATAATCCTCCTATAACACAATATATCTTTAATTAACACTTTCACAACTAAGGTTGACTACCCCTATCAAGTCATCACCGGTCAACTCTGGTCAACGCTCAACAATCAACTTTGACCGGACTCGACGAGCGCATTAGAGCGACTTGGCGAGTCTATACGTGCTCACTAACTCCCTAGGATCCTCTCTTGACTCGTTGAGTACTTCCCTGACTCGACGAGTTCCACCTGGCATGAATCGCGGGGCCACCATGACTCAACTCGCCGAGTCTCAAGAACAACTCGATGAGTTCCAGCTTGACTCAGTCCACCCGTCAACCCTCTCTGACTCTCCCTGACTCACTGAGTCAACCCCTTAACTCGGCAAGACCACTCGCTGAGTGCTTATGGACAATCTTGATGCTACTCGTTGAGTCTGTTCTTCGGACTCGGCGAGTCTATGCCATGCATGAACTCGAACTCACTCCTAAGGTCAGATCCGTTCCAATAACACATAGATCCAGTCCTTCCAAGCACATACATCACGTAAAGTTACAATCTTGGTGCTCATGCAAAGATCCAAAGGCCTTATTTGATGATGTGGTCACTAGAATGCTATTCTAAGCTGATGGCCTCCATTAACAGTCATAAAGCTTGAAGGAAAAGGGTCTCTGGACCTCTTTGGGTCCAGATCTAAAGCACCAACACAGGAGGAGGCCAATTACTCCATGGATCTTTCCACAAAGAAACCCTAACTCTAAGATTTACACCAAGGACTGAGAAAGGAACAAATGGTTACCTCAAATGAAGTCTCTGAGCTTATAGCACCTTCTTCGGTCTCCTCTTGCGTTGATCCTCTTCTATGTGCAAAAACACCCACAATAGTCAAGGATCTTCCTCTTCTCTCTCACAAATTGCTCAAAGACTCTTTAGGGTTCTCTCTGGGGTTGGTGGCCACAAATGACGGCCATAGGCCCCCTTAAATAGGTCTCATACCCTGGAAATTAGGGTTTCATTAAACAGCATGGACTCGCCGAGTCCGGACGTGAACCCATGCCCAAACCACGATCATACTCGGCGAGATTGAGCTCCAACTCGCCAAGTCCCCTCACAAATCACCAAAAATTATAAGAATAAATAATACCTGGGAATCCGGGCTGTTACATATATGCTGGCATGATATGTTATATGTGATAGTGGTAGTAGGAGGGGAATAGTCCCCAAGTTCGGTCGTTAGGACCGAAGGGTAGATCAGACATTCTAGATATGTCTGATAATATGTTAGGTTATGATATATGCGATAGTAGCAGTAGGGGGTGAAATAGTCCCTGAGGATCGGTTGTTAGGACCGATGGGTAGTCGGCACCCCAGAATGGCTTGACATGGGTAGTCAGTACCCCAGAATGGCTTGACACGGGCAGGTCGGCACCCCAGAATGGCTGTACCGGGTAGGTCAGGCAACCCAGAATTGCCCGACAGTATGTATGATATGTGATTATATGGTATGTGGTATGTTGGGGGAACTCACTAAGCTTTGTGCTTATATTTTTCAGTTTTGGTTTCAGGTACCTCTTCTTCACAGGGGAATGAGTTGGCGCGGTAGCGGCCCATCACACACACGCCTTGTATTCCGAATTATGAGATCCTCCTAGGAATTTGTACTCTGACTTTATTATGTTTTTATGAAATGTTTTTCAAGACATGTGATAACCTTTATTAAATGATATGATCAGTGAACGTTTTATTTTTAAGGTTTGCTAAGAATATGTTTTAAAAATAAAATTTTTGGCTCGTATTTTTTGGATGTTACAAGTTGGTATCAGAGCCCTGGTTTGAGGGATTCGGACACACCTTCGGGGGTGTCTGAACTCAAATCGGGGGATTAAAAGATTTTAAAGAAGAAAATATTTTCTAAAAAGCTAAGTAAAGAGTTTTAAGAAGGAACGAAGTGTGTAATGTGCGCGACCAGCCGAGCTCAAGTAACTATTACCCAAAGTACCCATACAAGCTTATGTTATGTTTATCAATTTCAGTAGAACAACATGCTAGTATAGGACTAAGGATCTAGGAGTGATGTCTTATGTGCCTGCTTTATGTGCTTCAGTTTATGAAATAATTGCATGCTAGAATTGAGTAGACAATAGTAGCATAGCCTGACTAGGTTATGCCTCATAGTATGAGCTTACCATTGTATGCTAGTGCAGTTCATGTTATGAGGATAGAGTTGCTTGAGATTATTTCCTTTTTGTTCGAATGTTGCTTGCTTTGTGTTATGAGGGCTTCGAGTGATGGGAGTTAACTGTTAGGTGAATACGTTGAAGTCACATGTGATCAGGGTTGAATAATCTCAGAGTGTTGGAATTAACCCTATTGCGTAGCTCTTGTTTGAGTCCTAACCGTAGTAGGGATGAGTCCCTTACTCAAAGGATTATCCGAGCCTCATTGCATGTGATTGTATTCAGGTAATGGCTAATTGGCATTGCAAAGAGACCTTCAGCAGCTGAGGAATGGGTTGGATGGAGTCAGAGGTTTCCTAGGGCAAGCCCAGGATGAGTATATCAGTGATCAGTGGTAGTGAAAGGGACCTAGTGGAGTCAAGGCAGTCTTTAGAGAAGGTAAGGATAGATGTGGAAGGTAGTATGGGCCCGTACTACTGAAAGCAGAGGATCCGTACCTGAACTTGTAGTCGGTGTGATCCCTCCATAGGTATCAATATCGCTAACAATTATTATTTATGTATTTCAGAATGGTGGTACTACGCTCGAGACCAACAGTTGGAAGTACGGGAGAGGGATCGGGTTCGGGACCAGGTTTCGAGCCAGTAGATGAGG